AGAAGTACTGAGCGTGGCTTGTAAAAGGAATGGATCCAGGTCAGTGAAGCAACCACATTTCTCTTCAACCTACATTCTCCGCCCTCACAACTGCGTTCTTTGGAAGCCTTGATTTTCATCGCCTCCTTTCCACTGTTGTCACACCTGTGTTCTAAACTCCACATGATAACAAGATGTGGGTAGGAGAGTAGGTGCAGAGGAGAGTTACTGCTGGTTCTATCAGTAGCCACTTCTGATTGCAATTCTATCCACTTCCCAGGAAAGTATGCAACAGAAAACAGGCACTTCCCAGGTCAGCCTACCCTGTATTGATGATAATGATGATGATGAACTACAATCTACTTAGGATTCAGAATGACTTTCAGATGCCAGGTAACATTTACAGAACTGGCAACTAGCTGGGGTCTATTTAAATTGTAAAGAAATCTCACATTTTTGGTGGGTTGGTCATGACATAAATTTTGCAGCTATTTATGCTGTGACCAGCCCACAAAAAATGAGTGATTTCTCTGCAGCATTTCACAAACTAGGGGCTCCAAACCAAAAGAGGAGCATAAGCTTATTATAGCGACATACCAGTTTTGCCACTCTTACTTATGTGCCACGCCTAGTGGCAGTGATGCCCAAAGCTGGGCAGCCGGAGAACAGTGGCTTCTGGTTCGGCACCAACCTCTGAAAGCAGCGCTGCCACCAGCAATGGCACAGGAAGGTGGCAATTCCATACCATGCCACCCTTACTTCTGGGCTGCTGTTAGGAGCAACACTGCTTTCAGATGTTGGCCCCTGCCAGGAGCTGCTGCTTTCCATTATGCCTTCAGAGCTGGGCTGTTGGAGACCAGATTTCACAGACCATGATGGGACTATCATGTCTGCAAATCTGTTGTACCCCTAGCAGTTAGACTCAAAACAAAATCTTTGTATTGTGAATGAAGTACATTTTATACAGAATCATTGAAACACAATGAACGCCAATTTTGCACCATTATTTGCAGAGCACAATCACACATGGGCTGTGTCTACATTGGCACCCCTTTCCGGAAAAGGGATGCTAATGTAGACTTTGCAATTGCAAATTCCGCGGGGGATTTAAATATCCCCCGCGGCATTTGCATTTACATGGCTGCCGCTTTTTTCCAGCTTTCAAGTAGGAATAAGAGATCCTCCGGAAAAGGGCTTATTTTCTGGAGAATCATGTCTAGACTGGCGCTTTTCTCTGGCTTATCCCCAAGCCGGAAAAAAGCGGAAGCCATGTAAATGCAAATGCCGCGGGGGATATTTAAATCCCCCGCGGAATTTGCAATTGCGACCCGTCTCATTAGCATCCCTTTTCCGGAAAGGGATGCCAATGTAGACGTAGCCATGGAGTATTAGAAGAAGAAACCTTCCTGGGCCTCTGTTTTAAAGAGGCTCCTTTGCCCCAGATCTCAGTGGAGCTCCACATCTGCAGATCCTTTTGTCCAACTGAGAATTTAGAAGGAGTAAGGGTTGCAAACTGATGTTCAGGTGACTAATTAAGGGGGATGCAGCGATATGTATAAAATAGTCTACAGTTCTCTCTTTCTGTGAGTTATCAGCTTCTGTGGCAGCCAACACAAGATAGGCCACTATTATGACTATTTTTGCAACTACACCTTCAGATATTGCCAAGAACAACTTGGCAGCTGGGAATCTCTGGTACCTCCCATATGCAAAACAAAACACAGCTTTGTTCTCCTATCACTACACAGATAACCTATGAAATTACAACCAGTCCAGTCTGTTTATCAGAATTTACTAGAAATACATTTGTTCCCACCCACTATTCAAATACAGCTTTACACATTCTGTACCCAAGTGTGTACAAATGAAGACCAGATTTGCCTACCACACATTTTTAGAATTCTTGTTCATAGAGGCCAGCATTTCCCAAACTATGGGCCGCGGCACAGTTACTGGGCCGCGGGAAAAAAATACCGGGCCTCAGCATGCCTGGTGGCTGCTGGGAGGGGAGCAGAGCGGGGCAGAGCAGAGCAGGCTGGGAGGAGGTGGCGGGGGGGGAACTGGCCGCCGGGAAGCAGGGTTGGGAGCAGCAGGGCTGTCCTGCGGAGATCAGGGCAGGCAGGTGGCTGGCTGGCGGAAGCAGGGTTTGGGTAGTGGGGCTGTCCGGCAGAGATCTGGGCAGGCGGCGGCCAGCAGAAGCAGGGTTGGGAGCAGCGAGGCTTTCCTGCGGAGATCCGGGCAGGCAGGCGAGCGGGCAACAGAAGCAGGGCTAGGGATAAGAGGGCTGTCCTGCAGAGATCCACCCAGGCGGATGGGCGGCAGAAGCAGGGTTGGAGGCTGCAGGGCTGTCCCGCAGAGATCGAGGAGGGCAGGTGGCGGAACCAGGGCTGGGCTGGGGGGGAGGAGGAGGTTGGCCGGGGGAGATCAGGAAGAAGAGGACGGAAGAACCAGCTGCCAGAAGCAGGGATGGACAGGGGCAGTGGGGCTAGTCACAGGGGAGGGTTGTCGGGGGAGCAGGGCTGACCGGGGGAGATGGGGGGAGGGGGAACTGGCCACCGGAAGCCGGGCTGGGCCAGGGGGAGTGGGCGGGGAGAATCAAGCTGCTGGAAGCAGGGCTGGACTGGGGAGACTGGGAAGAGAAGGGGGGGGGAGTGGGACTGACCTGGGCACATGCAGACCCTGCCAGATGAGTGAGTCTGGCTGGAGATTCCATTTTGCCTCCTCCCTCTCCACATACCCTCCCTGGAGTAGATGCAAACTGTCTGGCAGGTAGACACACTCAGGCAGCGTGAGCACATCTACCAGCCAGGCAGTTCCCAGCTAAGGACTGATACACCTAATTATAATAAAACTTACCTAATTAGAAAATACCAGACATTTTATATGTCTGGTAATTTCTCAATTTGTTTCCCAAACAAAATCCTCAAATACCAGACTGTCCGGTACAAAACCGGACACCTGGCAACCCTACCCCTCCTTGCACCCTCCCTCCTAGCCAGATACCCTACCCCCAATCTGCTCCTGCTCCCCACTCCTGGAGTGCCCATGCGGTGCTGGGTCCCCCAAGCCCTGGCCCAGGCTGAGTGGAGGATGCAGCCAGGTGAAACACTGAAAATGTATTCATTTTTCATTCTTTTTTTATATGCATTTATATTTTTGGGCTGCAAAAAACAGTACTGAAAAAAAAAAGGGTTCCAACTAAAGTAAAAAAGTTTGGGAAACCCTGACCTAGCCAGCTTTCTATCCATCTTACAGTCCATTTATCCAATCCATATTCCCTTAAGTTGCTGGCAAGAATATTGTGGGTGACTGTATCAAAAGCTTTGCTAACGCTGGCACTGGGGTCTTTGGGAGGACCAGAAACAACTTATTTGAATATTCATCATTTGCTTAATGAATATGCAAATATGCAAATGAATGTTACCAGTCCTCCAATAGCTCATGAATGGATTTACTGGTCCCCATGACAAAAAGTTTGGGAACCCCTGATATAGGCAAAAGGTACGTTTACACCTCCTGTGTTGCTCTCCTACAGAAAGTAAAAAACTTCCAAAATCCCTGGGCCAGAAACAAATTCCACAAACAATGTCTCTCTTACTGCTGGTGACTGTAGGGAATTTCTCTTGGGAATCACAAGGTTCACTGGAGCCACTAGCTGGATTGCATTAGCTTGGAACTTTGCTGCAGATTGTTAGGTCCAGCTCAATACTTACCTCTTACACCCCCTTCAAGAGGGAAATATCAGAGGGATTTTTCTGTAACGTAAACATTTTGTTTTCTATCATTTTCCTGTTATGTACATTATCTTTCTAGCCGAGATACTTATATGGTGCCCATCAGAGCATTATCTGAGCACTTCAAAGTCTTGAATATATTTATCCTCACAACTGCTCTCTGAGATAGGGAAGTGCTATTATGCCTATATTATGGCAGGGAATTGAGGCACAGAATGGCTCACTGACTTGTCCTAGAACAAACAGGTGAAAGAGCAAGGAACTGAGCTTGGGTCTTCCAAGTGTTAAGCTAGTTTTCTAACCACCAGCCCAGAGTGAATGTGTGAGAGCACAAGGGGACGATTTGGGGTAGAGAACAGTTTCAGCCAATAGTAATACCGATGTGGCCACTGGAATCCACCCTTTTTACAGCTAGAAACTGAAAAAAATACATGAAGAATTTGGAATGTACAGAGCTGGTTCTTTGATATAGGGAATTACTGTCAAAAGACAAACATGAACAGAAGAAAAAAATGCCAAGGAGAATCTGTGCTCCCATTTGCTGCTTTGTTTATTCTGAAAAAAATAAATATTAGGAAAAAGTGAAACTCCATAAATTCTAATTTAATTTAAAAGCAAAAGGCTTTTAAGACATCAGGAAAAAGATCAAGTCTCTGGATTGCATTTCTCCCCAGAGCATTATAAAATTCACTGAGCTTACACAGAGGTTTCTTTAAAAAGCTGAAATAAAATTTACAAGTAGAATAGCATAAATACTTGGTGTGGCAGAGATTGTCATGGTAACTGCACGTTTGTAGTAGTGAATCACAGAATAAACAAGTGGATAACACCAACCGTATGATTAGATTGGAACATTTGGGTTCTGATTGTGGAATCCTTGCTTTCCTAAGTAGGCCCTCCAACTTCAATGGGACTACTCATGTGCCTATATAATATTCATGTAAGTAAGAGCTGCCAAGATCAGGCCCTGGTATTAGGTTGTGTGCCTAATTCATACCAAGTAGTAACTTGCTACAGGAGTAGTCACACTAAAATTATAAGGAAGGTATTGTACAATGAAGGATATGGGATGGATTTTGGAAGTTCTCAGAGTACAGAGTACACTCACTCATTCCCCCAGCAATTGGTACTTTGTAATTATAGCAAGAATAAACTCTAGCACTTTCTCCTGGTAAAAAGAAAAATATATGAGCCAAATCAAACATCATGACTCCATTAATGGCATTCTTAATTCTCTATTCACAGTAAAACTAATCAGAGTTTAACATACTAAATGAAGATATTTACCTGTTGTGAATAGGTCCTCTGAACTTTGGGTCAAATTTCCTTGGTTCACCTGCATTTAAAATAAGATATTATAAAAAACAGATCCTGGTAAAAATATTAACTATATTATTTTGGCAGCAGCCCTTCAGAAACATCCTTCCAAGATGCCCAGTGTAACCCATTCAAGTAAATTTGTTCTTAGGAACAATACCAGCATTTCATCACTTAATTTGGTCTGCTCTGATTGCAGCAGAGGTCAGAGCTTTGGGTATCTATCTATCATTCATAGGTACTTATTTAGACAGCACCATTACTACAGTACCTACAAGCTTCTATGAGGTAGGGAAATGATGATACGCCATTTTACAGCTATGAATGTGAGAGAGTCTGATCTGCCCAAAGTCATAAAGGGTCTGTGGCAGAACATATAACTGAACCCGTGTCTCCTGAATAAGAGACAAGTGTCCTAACCATTGGGTCACCCTTCAAGAAAGTTAATGATCTGGAGCCATGACTGCAGCTCCCATACAACCGCAGAATCTCTATGGAGGCTAACCAAATTATGCTCACTCCAGGGTCTTACCCCATGCAATAACTTTTATCGGAGCTAATGCCATATCATACAGTCAGCTCAGTTTGCCCTTCGCTTGCATAGGTGCTCATAGGAGATGAGGCAAGCTTAGAGACTCCAGGCCAGTCAAGTTGCCCAGCAGGCAGGAAGGAAACTTAAATGGCTCTGATTTTCCATGGCCCTACATATTCTGTAGCCATTTATACCAGTGTAAACTGAGTGAAACATTCTATCTTACTATTTGAAATAGTTAGCATTTATACTGCCTAACTTAAAATGTTAAAAATGTTTCTTGCCGAATGCTCTGCTCAATAAGAACATGCACAACTTTTGTTGTTGTTTTTTTAAAGGTTTTTGCTAATCCATCTGGCAATCCATCCTGCCCAATTACACTCCTTTACTCTGCCTGGCCCAGCAGGCCTTGCTGTGACAACGAAGTCCTCCAAAGACATCAGTGGGTGCAGTGCATGAGAAATAAGTGCATGGTCGTCAGCAAGCCTCACACCAGAGAATGTCAACCCTATTAAAGTGGCATGTTTTATAACAAAAGCATAACTGTATCTAGGCTGATAAATGGGGTTGAGAATGACAGCAACAGAAATAATCATCAGCTGTGATATAAATTATACCAGTAACTATAACCAGATATTCCTTGCTACACAGAAGCATTCACAAAGCCACAACATTCATATAATAATCTGTCTTCCTCTTACATTGCATAGAGCACAATCATTTTTCATTGTTATTGGGTGTTTATTAAAAAAATCAAAGAGGTCTTATGAGCATACGTTTTGTTATACAATACATCTGGCAAAAATAAAGACAGTAGAGTAATATTTTAAGACTCAATACATGGCTTATTTCTGCAGTTATTTAAAACAAGGCACTCTTCCCAATTAGTTTCTTCTAGATCCATGCTTAGTAAGAGAGAAAACGTTCAATGCTGTTTAATTCCTTTGGGGCTTGTAGTTATTTATTCCTAAAACTACTTACTAAGAATATAATTACAAGTGTTAATTTGAAATAAAATGCTTTTTTGAAACTCTCTCACCCCAATCCCAATTAAAAAAAACATTTGATACCTGATATTTTGCAGATTAATCCAGGTTTCAAATTAAGCTGAAAATCTGCTGCTGAAGTTGTGGTTTTGTTCATAATAAACCCCAGAGGGTTTGGAAGAGGGAATGTGTTATTAGAAAGAAACCAAAAATGACAATTCTTCAAGGATGCAGGAGGAGGTGAGGGTTCCGGCTGGGAGTGCAAGCCCTGGGGTGGGACCAGAAATGAGGTGTTCAGAGTGTGTGGGAAGGGGCTCTGAGTAGAGGCAGTAGGTTGGAATATGAGAAGGGCAAGGGTTCCAGCTGGGGCTGTGGGCTCTGGGGTGGGGTCATGGATGAGGGGTTTTGGGTGCAGGAGAGGGCCCCAAGCTAGGTACAGAGAGCGAAGCTAAGGGCTTTGGAGTATGGGAGGGGGCTCTGGCATCAGGTGGGCATTTGGGTGTGGAAAAGGATACAGGCTCTGATCTGAGGCTGCAGGTTCCAGGGTGGGGCCAGAAATAAGGGATTGAGAGTGTGGGCCAGAGCTCTGAGCTGGGGCATAGGGGTGTGAGGGCTCTGGCTGGAGATGCAGACTCTCGGGTGGAGCTGGGAACGAGGGGTTCAGGTGCAGGAGGGTGCTCCAGGCTGAGATCGAAGTGTTTGGAGGGTTGGAGAGAGATTAGTGCTGGGGAAGTAGGTTAGGGAGGAGGAGTTCTGGGATGCTGACTCTGGGCAGCACTTACCTTAAACAGACCCCAGAAGCAGCAGCAGCAGCAGCATGCCCCCCTCCAGCTCTTATGCAGAGGTGCAGCCAGGTGTCTCTGCTGGCCAGTGCTGCTCCCACAGCTCCCATTGGCCAAGGTTCCCAGCCAATGTGAGCTGCAGAGCTGGCACTTGGGGTGAGGGCACGTATGAGCCAGAGGGGAGACATGCTGCTGCTTCTGGGAGTCATGCTGGCAGCAGGCAGGGAGCATTCCTTAGCCCCACTGTGCTGCCAACCAGACTTTTGACAACCTGGTTCGCAGTGCTGACCAGAGCCGCCAAGGTCCCTTTTCGACCAGGCATTTGAGTAGAAATCTGGACATCTGGCAACCCTATCGTGTCGTAAAATGGTATGGTGTGACTGCAGCGTTCCTTAGAAATTATTTAATTGTCTATTACCATCAGTAGAAATTTTCCAAAAGAGCAGTTCTGATAATTTTCCTGGTCTCTCTTTGCTTCTTCTTATTCTGCCAGCATCTTGATTACCTAAGGCTCAACCAGTCTTACGCTAAAGGGACAGTCAAAATCCCAAAGCAGCCTGTTCTTGTGTTATCTAAAACACAGCCTACTACTCTCTAAAGCATTACAATATTTTAGAATATATTACTCATTTTTTCATGAAGAAAAATACAGCTTTGTACACAATTCTATATATATATATATATTACTATACTACAAATTCCCACATCTATCTGATCCAGTAAAATACAATTATATACACATGTGCTAACCTATTTTTCATACAAATGGGAAAAAATGAATACATAAAAATACAGTACGCAAGATTTGTGACTGTCTTCTCAAAAGTCTTTTCCCAAGACTACAAGTAAACTACACATGTAAACTTTTACTTGCGCTCTCCTCACTCTCTGCTGAAATACCTTATATAAGCAGTATCGATGTTCAAAACAGCTCATCTCATCCCCAAGTTTACACAACACCATACGTAAAGGCATTTGTTTTCCAGTGTTTTACAGCTAAAAAGGTTACTTGTGCTATTTAACCCAACATGTCATTTAATCCAGAATTCATTTTAATTGTGATCTTCAACAAAATTTTGAATTTTTATAATAATTCTATTGCCCGACTTCCCATTTCTGATGTCAACTAGTCATGAGAAATATTAGTAATAACTTCAATTAATGCCATTGTGAAACCCACTTGATAATGTCAAATCTCAAGACCCAGATCCAGAGAGGTACTTAAACATCTAAATCCCAAAATTTAAACCTGAGAACAGCAAAAACCGAATTCTGCCTAATTCAGCTACTGCCTAATTCTGTAGACAGCCACACCTTGTGGCTCTGAGTTTTAGGCCTTCTGGATCCCATTGTTCTTCCAATGATTTTCTAGGGGTCTAAAAGACATTGCAGTGGTCAGCGGGGATGTAAAATTTCAATTACTTGGTTAATCGAATAGTCATTTTCATCGACTATTCGATTAGTTCATAAGGGCGCCTTTGGTATATATGGTCATGCCTATTTTCTTCCACAATTTGATCTGAGGAAGTGGGTCTGGCCCACGAAAGCTCATCACCTAATAAACCATCTTGTTAGTCTTTAAAGTGCTACATAGTCCTGTTTTTTGTTTCAGCTAGACCAGACTAACACGGCTACATCTCTATTACTATGCGCCTTTGAAGTATAGCATCAGCCCCAGGGCTCTTGGCCCTGTGCTCCCATTGGCGTTTCAAAGCAGCATCGCCACATGGCACTGACACTTTGAAATGCCGCGTGCAGCCCAGAGCCAGCTAGGGACCCGAGCTCCACAGGGCATTTCAAAGCAGAAGCACCATGTGGAGCTACTTTGAACCACCTCCTTTCTCTCCCCTCCCCCCCTTACTGCCTCTTTCTGATAAAGGCGGCAAGTGGGGAGGAAACGACTAGTCAACTAGTGTGTCGACTATCAGATAAGTATTTGCTTATAGGGTTGCCAGGTGTCCGGTTTTCTACCGGACAGTCTGGTATTTGCGCCCTCTGTCCGGTAGAAAAATTCAGAAAATACCGGACATGTGCAATGTCTGGTATTTTCTGAATTTCCAGCTGGGCACTGGACAGAAACTTGGAGGGGGCAGGGGAGCGACTGGGAGGCGGGGCCGTGATTGTCGCTGGCAGTCCTGTGTTATAGGGTTGCCAGGTGTCCGGTTTTCTACCGGACAGTCTGGTATTTGCGCCCTCTGTCCGGTAGAAAAATTCAGAAAATACCGGACATGTGCAATGTCTGGTATTTTCTGAATTTCCAGCTGGGCACTGGACAGAAACTTGGAGGGGGCAGGGGAGCGACTGGGAGGCGGGGCCGTGATTGTCGCTGGCAGTCCTGTGGTTGCGTGCAAAGACGGGTGGGGC